CTGGGGCTAGCTGACCTGTAGGTGCTTACCTCTCCCCCGGACACTAATGGACCTTCCTACGGGGGTCGTACAGGGTCGTTCCAGGTCATACCGAGAGGGTAAAGGTCATCTAAAGGGCAAATAAGGTTCTTTTTTATCTTCGTTAAGTTCGAGGGAGGAATGGACACCGTACGAGGCAATTGGCGATGAATTAATCCATAAATAGGATATAAATAGGATATAGGACATAAATAGGACATACGAAATTCTTTGGTAGTCAAAAAGAGAACTTTTTCCAATTTGGGGAAATGGTGGAGTAATTTGGTGCCCCATGTTGGGTCTTAAATGAATCAATTGGTCCTTTTATTGAAAAAAGGTTGCCATCTGAGGACCTTTTGGACCCACGAGGCTGTCTTGTGTGGTAATTGTAGGCCCACGAGGCTGTCATTTGGGAAAATTTGAGGACATGAGAATGTCTTTTAGGGTATGCGGAAGTCAATAAAAGTTATTTTACTGAAAAAAAATGTCCACAGTGTCACCAGATGAAAAATTTCTCGAAAGATACACACACACACACACACACACACACACACACACACACACACACACACACACACACACACACACACACACACACACACACACACACACACACACACACACACACACACACACACACACACACACACTTCCAATAGCCTTATCATCTATACACTCACCGTAGTAATAAGATACAGTAATACGATACAGTAATGTAATACGCCCTTACATTCAACTCATACAGACCAATTTCATACAGACCAATTTCATACAGACCGAGTACATACAGACCAATACTGTCACAGCAATACTGGACATAAAGTGAAGAAAAATACAACAATTACACAATTAGACCTGTATTATACATAATACAGCAGATATACAGCAGGTTTGCCATGAAACCTTTGACTTCATCACAAAATAAAACTGTTTTGACCAGCTTGAGAAAACAGCCCACCTTCTCGCCTTCAGAAGAAGAAATGTGCCTTACCTTGAGGTTACCTTGAGGTGCTTCCGGGGCTTAGCGTCCCCGCGGCCCGGTCGTCGACCAGGCCTCCTGGTTGCTGGACTGATCAACCAGGAACCCTTGGACAAAATTTGAACAATCATGCCAGAATGAAGTCGACTCTTGTACCAGGGAAGACTGAGGAGGAGAGGGGGGCGGGGCGCCCTCGGGACTATCAACACAGCAAACCAGACATGACAAGGCTCATCTCATCAGGGACGACTTTTTACCAATACTGAACAAGGCGGAGGATATTAACCCACAATATTTCTTTTAAAAGTTCAAAAATGTAACTCGCTCATGAACTTCAAGATCAACAAGCGACTAGTACAATTGTACAATTTAGTACAATATAGTACAAAGTAAATGATTAGCTCCAGTTCTATAGTTTAAAATCCAATTCCCCGTGTATGTGTGTGTGTGTGTGCACGTGCGTGCGTGTGCGTGAGTGTGGGCGCGCGGGCGAGGGGGAACGTAAGGGACACTTGATAAATGAATGATAAAGAGTGGCTTAGACTTATATTAGGAAGGAAACAGCAGGAGAGAAGGGAGAAGAAGGGAGAGTGAGAGGGAGAGGGAGAGGGAGAAGAAGAGAGAGAGGAGAAAGACTTCCGACGACGCCCACACGACGAAGAGAAAGGGGTGGAAGAGGAAGAGCGATGGATTGCTATAGAAAAAGAGTGGAAGAGAAGGATGAAGAGAATGAAACGAACTAGAGAGAGAAAAGGCAATGACTTTCCCTCCTTGCTAGTCCAAAAACACCTTCATACCCTCCCCCCCCTAAACCCACCCACTCACACACCCACTCACCCAACCTCACTCACCCCTACGGGTGTCCATTCATCCACTTCGCCTCTTCACTATCCTCTTAAGTATTACCTGTACTACCTCCTCATATTACGTTCTCCAGGCCTTACCCCCTCACCGCTCTCCCTCTCTCCCACCTCCACCTATTCCAACCTTTCTACCCTTCCACCACTTCCACCTATCCCATCCCTCCCACCAGCAGCGACATCCACTCGTCCTAGCCCTCCGTCCCACCCATACCCGCCCGCATGGCAGAACAAACAAACGCTATGAACACTGCAAACGCGAAAAAATTAAGAAAGAGGGGAACAACAAAGGAGAGATAGAAGAGAGGAGGAATATGTAAACAAGGGAGACTGAGGGAAAAGGATAAATCAAAGGGTGGATTTAATATGTGGAGAGTGAAGGAAGGAACCATAGATGAGAGGTGGTAAGTGAGGGGGTAGAGGGAGAGGGGTGGTAGAGGGAAGTGAGGGGTGGTAGAGGGAAGTGAGGGGTGGTAGAGGAAGATAGAGGGTGAAAAGAGAGAGAGAAAGAGAGAGAGAGATAGAGATAGAGATAGAGAGAGAAAGAGAGATAGAGATAGAGAGGGAGAGAGATAGATAGAGAGAGAGAGATAGAGAGAGAGAGAGAGAGAGAGAGAGAGAGAGAGAGAGAGAGAGAGAGAGAGAGAGAGAGAGAGAGAGAGAGAGGGAGGGGGTTCGATGCCCTTTTTTTGATGTTTACACTTGACACCATCACTTGCAACCCGCATCAGAATGGGCACTCATGTCTCTGGAGTGCATCCCCCGCGTGATGAGTACAAGCAACAGAATCAGCAGCAGCAGCAGCAACAACAACAACAGCAGCAGCAGCAGCAGCAACAACAACAACAGCAGCAGCAGCAGCAGCAGCAGCAGCAGCAGCAGCAGCAGCAGCAGCAGCAGCAGCCTCTGCCCTAGCAGTGGTCTGCGGTGTGATCTTGGTAATGCACTCCGGCTCAGCGGAGAGACATTGCTTGCGTCTAGGGCTGCTGAAACTGGTGCGTCTTAGCGAGCGAGAGAGAGCGAGCGAGAGAGAGAGAGAGAAACACAGGTGCCAGGAAGAAAGGAATAAGCCCTCACTTTCTCGTAACTAAACACAAACAAATATACGTAAGAACGGAACATGAGGAAGGGCGCAACAGCACGAACAGGAAGAAGAACAACAAAGAGGAGAGGACAAGAAGGAAGTTGGGAATTGGAAAGACGACGGAGAACACACACACACACACAGAGCTGGGACCACCTAGCGGCAGCAACCTGAATTAACATTACCTCCACCGGTAATAAAAGTCGCCCGAGCGATATGCAGAGTAGTAAGCGCTTTTCTTAAGTGGTTTTTACTTTTAAAGCCTCGTCGTGGATTACACTAGGGGGCTGGGGGGCTGGAAGGGGGCTGGAAGGGGACTGGAAGAGGGGGGACGATGGAACAGAAAGGGGAAATGGAGGGATTGTTAGGGAAAATAACACGACTGCGGCACCTGAAATGAAGGAAAGGTGCTTGAGATTAGCTGGAAGGGGAAACTGGAAGGGGAGACTGGAAGGGGGAAGGCCAGAGGGTTGTAGGATGTCCTCGAAGAAGCCGGGAAAGGGATGGAGAGAAAGAGGCGCTCACGAGACCAACGAATGTTTGTTGGGGACAAAACCGGAACTGGAGAAAAAGACTACAGAAACGCTGAAAGAGGAGGCACTGGAGGGTATGAGGCATAGTATAGGGCCTATGAGGTATGAGGTATGGTATAGGGCCTATGAGGTATGAGGCATGGTATTGGGCCTATGAGGTATGAGGCATGGTATTGGGCCTATGAGGTATGAGGCATGGTATTGGGCCTATGAGGTATGAGGCATGGTATAGGGCCTATGAAGTATGAGCCATGGTATTGGGCCTATGAGGTATGAGGCATGGTATTGGGCCTATGAGGTATGAGGCATGGTATAGGGCCTATGAGGTATGAGGCATGGTATTGGGCCTATGAGATACAAGCCATGGTATTGGGCCTATGAGGTATGAGGCATGGTACTGGAGCTATGAACCAGTGGCATGAAAATAGAAAAGGGTAGAATGAGCCTTGGGTTCTGAGGTGTGAAAAAAATGGGGAATGGTTCGAACGCCCTGTTACATAAGGGGGCGAGGAACGGGGAAATATCACAGGTGAATGAGGCTGGGCTAGGGAATGGGGAGGTTGGGAAACGTTGAACGTGGGCTGGGAAAGGAGGAAAAGGCGGGATAGTGAACAAAGGAACAGACTTTGTGGGCGCCATAACACAAGAAATCAACACAAACTAAGAAGAAAACGGGGATACAGAAGACCACGAGGCTAGACTTAAATATACAAACCCACACATATATAGGTACGATCTTTCTCTCCTCTCTCTCTCTCACTCTCTCTCTCTCACATACACACACACGCGTCTTAGAGCAGAGAGCAGGAAAACGGGCGCCACAGGTGTGAGAGAGAGCCTTAGAGACGCGGAGGGTAAAAATGAGCATATTAGGGTCGTTTGTTGACTAAGCGGATTATGTCTGGATTACTGACGGATTCTTCACGGCTTCTCGGATTCACCAACACGCCAAAAAGGGGTTTCGAAAAGTTATGGGGGGGGGAGGGATTTTTGTCTCTGGTGCTTACCTATCAGCGTGTGCGTGTGTGTTTGCGTGTGTGTGCGTGTGATGGTCCCCACACACACACATATATTTATACGTCACTGTGTGTCCTGTATCTTATCTTCTATCGCCGCTGCCTCCTCCTCCTCCTCCTCTGGTCCGTTGCCTCCTATTCTTCGTTCTTATATTGATCCTCTTTCACTACTTCCTCTTCTATTCACCTTTCTCCTCCTCCTCCTCCTCCTCCTCTTCCTATTCATCATATTCCACAACCTGGTATTATAGCAGCGTGCTTTTCGTGCACACACACACACACACACACACACACACACACACACACACACACACACACACACACACACACACACACTACGCTAACTTAAGAATAATCTGTGTTTCCAATCATAACTTTACTCCACCTAATTGACTATACATTTTTGTCTAGAAAGCATACTAATATCTCTTATCAACAGATAATGCCATTATATATATATATATATATATATATATATATATATATATATATATATATATATATATATATATATATATATAAGAACCTGAATAACTGACAAGAAAATTGTTTGAAAAACTAAAAAATTTCAGGAAAATTCTGCTTGTTTGGCAACTTGGCCTATTAGATGTAACATAAGTATATATATATATATATATATATATATATATATATATATATATATATATATATATATATATATATATATATATATATATATTTGCTTATGAAAGTAAATTTGTTTAATATTTCAAATTCGAAGAGAATATTAATGCATTTTTTGTATTAGATGATGCTAGCATGCATGCGTGTGTGTGTGTGTGTATGTAGGAGTGTGTATGTAGGAGTGTGTATGTAGGTGTGTATATGTGAATTTGAACACCTCACCTCTCTCACCAGTGGTAACTATCGCAGGCTCTGAAGGCGGGCCGCGGCCAATCTTATTGACAGCCAGCACGTGGAACTCGTACTCCGTGTAGGGCGTCAGATCTGTCGGGGGGAAGGAGAGAGAGAGAGAGACATGTTAGCGACGTGAGAAATCCAATATGGACACAAAAAAATTGAAATGTTACGAAAGTGCGGTTAAGATGTATATGCGATATATCGAGGAGAGTACCTTGTGGATATACCTGTTGATAGGCGGTGTTGTTCCGGGGATCAGTTAGGTCCCCACGGCCCGGTCTCTGCTCTTCGACGCAGTTGCTCCCAAGCCTGACGTATGCATCATAGCCTAGTTGATCAGATATGCTTAGCAGTGTTTATCAAATTCTCCTTTTAAACACATACTTATGCCCCTAATGTGTAGTGGAAGCGTGTTGAACAGTCTCGGGCCTCTGATGTTGATAGTTCTCTCTTGAACACTGTGAGGGGTCGGCCAGTTATGGCCCTTATGTGTAGTGGAAGCGTGTTGAACAGTCTTGGGCCTCTGATGTTGATAGTTCTCTCTTGAACACTGTGAGGGGTCGGCCAGTTATGGCCCTTATGTGTAGTGGAAGCGTGTTGAACAGTCTCGGGCCTCTGATGTTGATAGAGTTCTCTCTCAGAGTACCTGTTGCACCTCTGCTTTTCAACGGGGGTATTCTGCACATCCTGCCATGCCTCCTGGTCTCATGTTAATTCCGTGTGCAGATTTCGAAGCAGTCTCTCTAATATTTACCAAGTGTAAATTCTTATGGATAGTACACTGTAATCTATATCTATAAAACGGAATGTCTGTGCAAAGTCGGAAGCCAGATGCTTAGGGGTAGTCTCACCCAACTTTGCAGGGTGAACTTGGTAGAGTATATGTGTGGCATAGGCCAGTTGGGGTCGGCCCAAGTTCCATGCTTTAAGAAGTAGCGGCATCTGTGGCGAATCTCAGCGATTTATAGTGTCAAATAAAATCAGGGGTAGTGTTTTCCGTAGAGTTGACTCCCGCCGTTTACTTGCGAGAGATGGCGGGGGGTGGGGGGTTGGGGGGGAGGGGAAAGAGGGAAGAGGGGGGATGAAAGAGAGAGAGGAGGATAAAGAGGAGGGGAAAGAGGAACAGATGAGGGAAGAGGGGAGGGTGTGGGGAAAGAGAAGGAGAGAACTATCATGGGGAAAGCGTCAAGCCATTACGACTATATAGCACTGGGAAGGGGGTCAGGATAAGGATTTGGAATGGGACGAGGAGGAAGGAATGGTGCCCAACCACTTATGGACGGTCGGGGATTGAACACCGACCTGCATGAAGCGAGACCGTCGCTCTACCGTCCAGCCCAAGTGGTTGGGCAGGGAGGAGAGAGAGGGGGGCAGAAAATGGAATATTGGGGAGAAAAACACAAGAAATGAACAGACACACCCCGGGCACTGCCGGGAACCCTTCCCAGTAGCACCCTTACCTAGCACACAAAAAAATCCTTTCGTGTAGAATACGTGTAAATATCCTCAGACAATTCGAGACCCAAAATAGTTAGAATTTGACATTATAAAAACGCGTGTTCAACAATTCATTAAAAACTATTACCGTCATCACGATATGCCACACAAGTGCTACTGCCGGAACCCCTATATCAAAAGTGGCCATCATTTGGGTTTAATGGATTTACGAGCTCCAGTTCTGAAGAAATGTGAGAGTAAGTTATTGTTCAGTCATATATGCAGGTCCAACACTCGCCCCCCACACTGAAATATTATTTAATGGAGAGTTTCATTGATTCGAACGTTCAAATATATTTCTTTCAATGCCAGGAAGTGTTGTGAAGTGGGTGTGTGTGTGTGTGTGTGTGTGTGTGTGTGTGTGTGTGTGTGTGTGTGTGTGTGTGTGTGTGTGTGTGTGTGTGTGTGTGTGTGTGTGTGTGTGTGTGTGTGTGTGTGTGTGTGTGTGTGTGTGTGTGTGTGTGTGTGTGTACTCACCTAGTTGTACTCACCTAGTTGTGTTTGCGGGGGTTGAGCTCTGACTCTTTGGTCCCGCCTCTCAACCGTCAATCAACAGGTGTACAGATTCCTGAGCCTATCGGGCTCTGTCATATCTACACTTGAAACTGTGTATGGAGTCAGCCTCCACCACATCACCCCCTAATGTGTGTGTGTGTGTGTGTGTGTGTGTGTGTGTGTGTGTGTGTGTGTACGCACCTAGTTATGCTTGAGCCAGAGTTGTTCAGCTCTGGCTCTTTGGTCCCGCCTCTCAACTGTCAATCAACTGGTGTACAGATTCCTGAGCCTACTGGGCTCTATCATATCTACATTTGAAACTGTGTATAGAGTCAGCCTCCACCACATCACTGCCTAATGCATTCCATTTACTAACTACTCTGGCACTGGAAAAATTCTTTCTAACGTCCCTGTGGCTCATTTGGGCACTCAGTCTCCACCTGTGTCCCCTTGTTCGCGTACCACCCGTGTTAAACAGTTTGTCTATGTGTGTGCATGCGTGCGCGCGTGTGCATTTACACACAACCATATAAATTGAATAAACTAATATACATTCAGCAGCTAAATATTGGCTTTCCTGCTATCTTCCATATTTAGTACACATTCACTGATTAGAACCAAAACAAAAATGAATAATTCACGATCCCAGCATCGCCCCAAAAAACATAAAAAAACATTGATTAAATCAATGAGGTCATCATTTCGAGAAAATAAAATTCAAACAAACCGGCTACGAACATCAGCGTTTTAATTGGACGCTTCAGACTGCTCGAGGATCTCACTGGCTGACGCCTGACGTTTGAATCTTGGCGGGCACGCAACGGAACTCATTACGGCTTCAACACATTTTTAATTCACAACCAAACTCCTTCATATAAATTATAATGTGATTCTGCGCGTTAATTCAATGAGTTTACAGGATGAAAATGACAAGTTTTTTTTTAAATAAATTACCGTCAGGCTAGCCAATCACGGAAGACTATTAACGTCACTACTTTTTATGACGTCACGTTGACAGTTGCCAACTCTTGCTTTTTTTAACGGAATTATTTAAAATATATTTAAAAAGGGGCGGAGAAGCTCGTGTTTGGCTTAATAATATGCTATATTAATATCAGCTTAATAGCCGGCGATTGCGTGATATTGCAGAAAAACTAACCTAATAGAGCAAGCAATTAAGAATTCATTTTTCTTTAGGATGGAAGCCAAAGAAAGCCGTATGGCACTGTTTAGCCTCGCCGAATCCTCTCCCTCTGATTGGTGGCATGATTCTCCCTCCCTGATTGGCGGCACGATTCTCGCTCTCTGATTGGCGGCATGATTCTCCCTCTCTGATTGGCGGCACGATTCTCGCTCTCTGATCGAAGGCATGATTCTCGCTCTCTGATTGGCGGCATGATTCTCGCTTTCCGAATGACCATGCTTTACCGTTGCTGCTTTGTTAAAGTCAAACAGGAGTTGAGACTCCACACAAGAGGCAAACAGGAGTTGGGACTCCACACAAGAGGCAAACAGAAGTTGGAACGCCCCCAAAACAGGCAAACAGGAGTTGGAACGCCCCCAAAACAGGCAAACAGGAGTTGGAACGCCCCCAAAAGAGGCAAACAGGAATTGGAACGCCCCCAAAAGAGGCAAACAGGAGTTGGAACACCCCCAAAACAGACAAACAGGAGTTGGAACACCCCCAAAAGAGGCAAACAGGAGTTGGAACACCCCCAAAAGAGGCAAACATGAGTTGGGACGCCTCCAAAAGAGGCAAACAGGAGTTGGAACACCCCCAAAAGAGGCAAACATGAGTTGGGACGCCTCCAAAAGAGGCAAACAGGAGTTGGAACGCCCTCAAAAGAGGCAAACGGAAGCATATGAGACGCTATATAAAAGCTCCCAGAGAGAAGTGGACACTAAAGTTATAGACACCGTAATAAAAAAAAGTGATACGATTCTCCGAGTTAGAATAAGGGATGATTTCTCGCGGTGGGAGACGGAATCACAGGTCTGGGAGAGGGGGGCGAAGATGGGGGGGAGTGTGGGGGGGGGGAAGAGGGGTGCACGCCCCCCACCTCCCTTAAGACGGCCGTCCGGCACCTATTCCAGTGAAGAAACTTGCCAATAAGAACGGCGGAAGATTGGAAAAGCTCAGCGGAAAGTGAACGAATGGCGAGGGGTGGCAGCAGGTGTAGACGAGGCACTTCCCTTGGCACTGCCCGCCCTAGGCACCGACGAGGCTCACACACAACCTGCCACAGGGGGGTGGCACTCCTGGGACACTAATCCTAGGACGTATTGTCCTCTCTAATACTTTGGCGAAACTGGCCGTACACTGAATGACAGACTTAAAGAACACAAGAGAAGTGTTAAGTCTGCAGACACTAACAATGCTCTCTTCTGCCATGTGAGGGATTCTAATCATCCCATTGATTGGCCTTCCTCCAAAATAATCTTTCCTGCCTCTACTCTACACAGACGCCGTCTTGTTGAATCGGCTCTTATACACAATGTACCCAACATGAACTTGAGTCCTGGCTTTGTTGCTGTGGACTCTTCCCTTTCACAATATATACTCAAATGCTCTAATCTTTCTAACAAACGTGACCTTACATAAGCTTACCCCTTCCATTTATCTTTCTTTCTTTTTCCTTTCTTTCTCTTTTTTCAGTTCATTGTTTTCTCCTACGTTCCCTCGCTTTCCTCTTCTCATTATTTTCTCCTTCTCTTTCGGTGGTTATAATAGGAACTGCCTCGTATGGACCAATAGGCCCATACGAGGCAGTTCATAGGCCCTCTGCAGTTCCTGCTACTAGCCCCTCACCTTACTTTGCTCCTCATCTCTCTCGTGCCTATTTATTGCCTGTCTCCACTTCCTCATCACAATCGACTTGAGAATGGTCCATGACGGACTGAAACGTCGTCGTCCTTCACATTCTAGTGTGTGGTCTTGTCATCACTAATCCTAGGAGCTTAGCCACTCTTGGGACACTAATCCTAGGAGCTTAGCCACTCCTGGGACACTCCTAGGAGCTTAGCCACTCCTGGGACACTAATCCTAGGAGCTTAGCCACTCCTGGGACACTAATCCTAGGAGCTTAGCCACTCCTAGCCGGGGCTCCTAGTGCTAGGAGTGCGCCTACTATCGCCACTGCCACCCCTAACACATTAACTACTACCCTCCCTCCCAATAACAATAGCATGTAGGTCTATACTTAAGTAGCTAGGCTTGAAGGCCAATGTTATACATACGTGGCCAATGTCTGTAGGCCTGCATATATAAGTACGCTATGCTTGTAGGTCTGTATTATATACATATAATACTAATTATAAATAATTGAGTTTTCTTTTTACAAGAAAGTAGAATAATATGAAGATAACTAGATAATCTGAAGGTTAAAAATACATAGGTCAAAGAATGTAATTTACAGCAATTGCACTCTCCACCTCCCCCCTTTCCTTCCCCCCTTTCCTCCCCCCCCCCACACCTGCATCCCCCCCTCACCTGCCCCCCCCCCATTCCCCATTCCCTAACTAGGCTCCCAGTGTTGTCTTCTTCCGTCAACAGATGGCGCAGTTCTGGCGGTATGTCAGCCGAGTGAAGGGGGCGCCTGAAAGCTGAGTGGACAGCGCTTTGGATTCGTAGTCCTGAGGATCCGGCTTCGATCCCCAGTTTTGGCGGAGACAAACGGACAGAGTTTCTTTCACTCCTGATGCCCCTGTTCACCTAGCAGTAAACAGGTACTTGGGAATTAGACAGCTGCTACGGGCTGCTGTATTCTGGGGGATGTATAATAAAAAGGAGGCCTGGTCGAGGACCGGGCCGCGGGGACGCTAAGCCCCGAAATCATCTTAAGATGTGGGCAAAGTCTCAAGGATCTGCAGCATCTCAGTTGCACGGGATGCTGCACGAGGTACAGATATGAGTTCATTCACTTGAGATGACCAGGGATTCGATCTCGGGTCTCAAAAAACAGCCGGGCTGTTTCTCTGACGGTGTAGAACTTACTGCTGACGGTGAAGAACTTACTGCTGACGGTGAAGAACTTACTGCTGACGGTGAAGAACTTACTGCTGACGGTGAAGAACTTACTGCTGACGGTGTAGAACTTACTGCTGACGGTGTAGAACTTACTGCTGACGGTGAAGAACTTACTGCTGACGGTGTAGAACTTACTGCTGACGGTGAAGAACTTACTGCTGACGGTGAAGAACTTACTGCTGACTGTGAAGAACTTACTGCTGACGGTGTAGAACTTACTGCTGACGGTGTAGAACTTACTGCTGACGTTGTAGAACTTACTGCTGACTGTGAAGAACTTACTGCTGACGGTGTAGAACTTACTGCTGACGGTGTAGAACTTACTGCTGACTGTGAAGAACTTACTGCTGACGGTGAAGAACTTACTGCTGACGGTGTAGAACTTACTGCTGACTGTGAAGAACTTACTGCTGACGGTGTAGAACTTACTGCTGACGGTGAAGAACTTACTGCTGACGGTGAAGAACTTACTGCTGACGGTGAAGAACTTACTGCTGACTGTGAAGAACTTACTGCTGACGGTGAAGAACTTACTGCTGACGGTGAAGAACTTACTGCTGACGGTGAAGAACTTACTGCTGACGGTGAAGAACTTACTGCTGACGGTGAAGAACTTACTGCTGACGGTGAAGAACTTACTGCTGACTGTGAAGAACTTACTGTTGACGGTGTAGAACTTACTGCTGACGGTGAAGAACTTACTGCTGACTGTGAAGAACTTACTGCTGACGGTGAAGAACTTACTGCTGACGGTGAAGAACTTACTGCTGACGGTGAAGAACTTACTGCTGACGGTGAAGAACTTACTGCTGACGGTGAAGAACTTACTGCTGACGGTGAAGAACTTACTGCTGCCGGTGAAGAACTTACTGCTGACGGTGTAGAACTTACTGCTGACGGTGAAGAACTTACTGCTGACGGTGAAGAACTTACTGCTGACGGTGAAGAACTTACTGCTGACGGTGTAGAACTTACTGCTGACGGTGAAGAACTTACTGTTGACGGTGTAGAACTTACTGCTGACGGTGAAGAACTTACTGCTGACGGTGAAGAACTTACTGCTGACGGTGTAGAACTTACTGTTGACGGTGTAGAACTTACTGCTGACGGTGTAGAACTTACTGCTGACTGTGAAGAACTTACTGTTGACGGTGTAGAACTTACTGCTGACGGTGAAGAACTTACTGCTGACGGTGAAGAACTTACTGTTGACGGTGTAGAACTTACTGTTGACGGTGAAGAACTTACTGCTGACGGTGAAGAACTTACTGCTGACGGTGAAGAACTTACTGCTGACGGTGAAGAACTTACTGCTGACGGTGTAGAACTTGGTGACGAGGCCTGTGATCTCGGCGTAATCCCGGTCGGCGTGGCGCGGCTTGTACTGCAAGGCGTAGTGTGACACCTCGCCAGGGTTGACGTCGTAGCTCCACGTGATGCGCACAGACGTCGGCATTATGTCGCTGATGCGCACGTTATCAGGAGGCCGCGGCAGGGCTGCGAGGGGGAACACGTGTAAACCACATAAGTAAACAGAGACGAATATACTAAAGTATACACATTGATGTATCACAAGACGTTTGTATATGATGAAGTCATGGGATGGGATCGAACTTGCGTCTCTTAAAGACTTTACCTCTAAACAAGTAAACTACTAACACCCCCCCCCCACATCTCACCCATGTTCCTACTTTTAAATGGCCGAAAATCAAAATGTAAGTTTATGTAACCACGTAAATTACAAAAAAAAAAACTGCTTACCAAATTGGGGGGTCAACATGCTAGCACCTAAATTGGGGGTAAACATGGTGGGGGGGCCCCCCAAATTGGGGGTAAACATGGTGGGGGGCCCCCCAAATTGGGGTCAACATAGACCCCAAACTCCGGTTATCACGCTCTCCGCTAACCGGCTCTCGTCCGCCGGATAAGAGTAAAAATCTGGCATCCGGAAACCTTATCATGAGAGGCGACCATTTAAAGTCGGCCAACCGGACCTTAAAATTGAACCTGATGGTCAAAATAACATTATCAGCTGACTGGCTCACCACTCCGGTTATCTTGTATCCTCCGGTCATGTCCCCACTGCTACCAGGGAGCCGGTCGGCCGAGCGGACAGCACGCTGGACTTGTGATCCTGTGGTCCCGGGTTCGATCCCGGGCGCCGGCGAGGAACAATGGACAGAGTTCCTTTCACCCTATGCCCCTGTTACCTAGCAGTAAAATAGGTACCTGGGTGTTAGTCAGCTGTCACGGGCTGCTTCCTGGGGGTGGAGGCCTGGTCGAGGACCTGGCCGCGGGGACACTAAAGCCCCGAAATCATCTCAAGATAACCCCAGTTATCCCCAGGAGCACTAGACTGTGAGCGGGGAAGGGGAGGGGTAAAGAGGGAGGGGAAATTACAGTAGAGGGGAAAATGTGTCACACAAAAGAGGGTTCAGGGAAGAGGTCAGAAGGAATATTTATTTCCCCTCCTCTTCTTCCCTCCCTACGTTCTCTCCTTCCTCGCTGGTTCATCCTCCTTTCCTCTCCTTCATCTTTTACCCCCTTCCAACGGTATAGCGTCGGTCTCGCTTCTTGCGTGGTCGGCGTTCGATTCCCCACTACGGGAATCTCAAAAATTTAAAAATTTTAAATTAAATTAAATCATCTCAAGATAACGGGTCATAATTTCCACCTCATACTCCATCTACTCATCAACTTCTCCATTACGTGAAGCGCCGGATGGAAACCAGTCAACTTCAATCCTTAATGAATAAGGAGGATCGGTTCATAGATATCTCTCTCTCTCTCTCTCTCTCTCTCTCTCTCTCTCTCTCTCTCTCTCTCTCTCTCTCTCACGCGCAAACACACACACACACACACTTAGGGGTCTGCGGCTGAGTGGATAGCGATCGGGGGTCGTAGAACTAAGGGCCCGGGTTCGATTCCCGGCCGAGGGTGAAACATATGGGCAGCGTTACTTTCAACCCTGATGCCCTGTTCACCTAGCAGTAACTAGGTACCTGGGAGTTAGACAGCTGCTACGGGCTGCTTCCTGGGGATGTGCGCGCGCGTGTGTGTGTGTTAGAAATATATGTAGTAGATATAATAGAGGAAAAATAGATTGGTTAGAAAGGCGGGGTCCAAGAGCTAATAGCTCGATCTTGCAGACACAAGTAGCAAATACAAATAGTAAATACACAGATAAATGTGTGTGTGTGTGTGTGTGTGTGTGTGTGTGTGTGTGTGTACACATACACAGGACATCATTATCCGTGTATAACCGCAGCTTCCTAGATTAATTTAAAGGATGAATAATCGGGAACGAAGCGACAGGACCAATAAGGTCTGTAACCGGCCCCTTCCAACTGTGGATTTCCAGCCTTACGGACTCTCCCGGCATCTTGGCTTAGTTAACTTGTTGGCTTTTTCTTTCAAACGACCATTTCGTTAAGGAGGCTTCATTGTTGGTGTAGAGAGAGAGAGAGAGAGAGAGAGAGAGAGAGAGAGAGAGAGAGAGAGAGAGAGAGAGAGAGAGAGAGAGAGAGAGAGAGAGGCAAAGACTCCAGAGAAACACGGAAAGAAACATAACCACTTTGCATAACAATCAAAATCACAACCTTCCTCTTACCTACCTAAACACTAAAGAACAGAAATATCTGAATTAAAAACTAAAAAAAACTAAATCTGAAAATCGTGCTACGCCAGACCAAGAACGGATTTAAAAATGGCAATTTAGTCTGGCATTCAACCCTAGCAGGAGTATAACAATAGAAGACACCATGAGAATGAAATTGGTGTGTGGATGGTGCCCTACTGCCCTAGTTCAGTGTAAGGGGGGCAAGGGGCATGTAAGGGGGGGGCATGTCTATGCCCCTCTATTAAAGGGGGGCAAGGGGCATCCCTGCCTAGTACAGGTAGAAAAAGGCTAGGGGGGAGGGGGAGGAAAGAGCTAAGGGGGAAAAGGGAGAATGCCAACCGGAATGCCTGCTACATATATGCGCAGAGTTAAGATAAAAACCTGCCTGCTTGAGGATGCTATCAGGTGTGTGAGCTGTGACACACACACACACACACACACACACACACACACACACACACACACACACACACACACACACACACACACACACACACACACCTGTCACCTATAGCCCCAAGCCTCACCTTGCGGGGAAGGGAGGAAGGGAGAGACGGAGGGGTCACTTTCAGAGCAATTACTGCTACAAATCACCTTCCGACTAACTACCCCTTGACTCTAGCCCTCCCTCCCTCCCCCCTTCTTGACACTCACCTTGCACCTTGACAGCCACGTCCTTGGTCACCAGGCCCAGAGTTGACTGCGCTTGACAGGTGTAGTTAGCTGACTCCTGGATGTTCTCCAGCACCAGGACGTTCTTAGTGATGAGATTGTCAGTCACGTCGATGGCCGGGCCCTGGGGGGGGGGGACAAGATGAGAACACGAGGTCAACAGATCTTTCACACGCTGCTAAGTCACGTTCTCTAAACACGTCTTACGAGGCCAACAGATCTTTCACACGCTGCTAAGTCACGTTCTCTAAACACCTCTTACGAGGTCAACAGATCTTTCACACGTTGCTAAGTCACGTTCTCTAAACACCTCTTACGAGGTCAACAGATCTTTCACACGCTGCTAAGTCACGTTCTCTAAACACCTCTTACGAGGTCAACAGATCTTTCACACGCTGCTAAGTCACGTTCTCTAAACACCTCTTACGAGGTCAACAGATCTTTCACACGCTGCTAAGTCACGTTCTCTAAACACCTCTTACGAGGTCAACAGATCTTTCACACGCTGCTAAGTCACGTTCTCTAAACACCTCTTACGAGGTCAACAGATCTTTCACACGCTGCTAAGTCACGTTCTCTAAACACCTCTTACGAGGTCAACAGATCTTTCACACGCTGCTAAGTCACGTTCTCTAAACACCTCTTACGAGGTCAACAGATCTTTCACACGCTGCTAAGTCACGTTCTCTAAACACCTCTTACGAGGTCAACAGATCTTCACACGCTGCTAAGTCACGTTCTCTAAACACCTCTTACGAGGTCAACAGATCTTTCACACGCTGCTAAGTCACGTTCTCTAAACACCTCTTACGAGGTCAACAGATCTTTCACACGCTGCTAAGTCACTTTCTCTAAACACGTCTTACGAGGCCAACAGATCTTTCACACGCTGCTAAGTCACTTTCTCTAAACACCTCTTACGAGGTCAACAGGGGGATCATATGTGGTTAGGTCAGGTGCTCATACGTCCAACCACTTGGGCTGGACGGTAGAGCGACGGTCTCGCTTCATGCAGGTAAGTGTTCAATCCCAGACCGCCCAAGTGATTGGGTACCATTCCTTTCCTCCGGTCCCATCCCATATCCTTATCCTGACCCCTTCCTTGTGCTATATAGTCTTAATGGGTCAACAGTCATACGAGGTCATCCTCAAAACATACTTATATTAACATATTTACTACGAAGTTAAACTATTTAACACAAGCTCGTTAACATCGTTTAAAGTACAATATGCAGGCCTAAATAAGGGGTCAGGTGGGTCAACATTAATTGAAATGAGAGTAATTATACAGTCTATTTAGGCAATTATCAATATACCTGAAAGATTAAATCAAAATAGGCCTAATGAGCTTCAAGGTCATTTCAGGTCACAATTCAATAAGTCAACACAGGGCATCATGACCTAATGAGATGAGTCCAGCATAATCAACATTATTGTTGTTTAAGATTCGCTACTTGGAACAAAATGTTCCAAGTAGCACGGGCTATGGTGAGCCCGTAGTGCATAATTAACGTTTTCTTTGTAACTTATACCCATGACTGCGATATATTTGGTGTGTGTGTCTGTTTTTTTGTCACCTGTCGACCCCCGGGGCAAAGTTAGACTTTTAAGAGTCTGCTTTTAGCGAGGGCGATGAGAAGTCTTCGTCATGACCTGCCAGCCTTTCCAATATTGGAAAACATAATAACAATTACTTGTTGTAAACGCCTGAGGCAGTGGTTTAGAGGGTAATTGGTTGTTAGGTCTAAGTTGTGTGTTGGTCAGCTGCCTCCTGCCACTCTGGATTGGATGGTGCTGTGTTGAGCTGGTGTCGTGGTTACAGCTGCTGGTCTGGTGGTTACAGCCACTAGTCTGATGGTTACAGCTGCTGGTCTGATGGTTACAGCTGCTGGTCTGATGGTTACAGCTGCTGGTCTGATGGTTACAGCTGCTGGTCTGATGGTTACAGCTGCTGGTCTGATGGTTACAGCTGCTGGTCTGATGGTTACAGCTGCTGGTCTGATGGATACAGTCGCTGGTCTGATGGTTACAGCTGCTGGTCTGATGGTTACAGTCGCTGGTCTGGTGGTTACAGCCACTAGTCTGATGGTTACAGCTGCTGGTCTGATGGTTACAGCTGCTGGTCTGATGGTTACAGCCGCTGGTCTGGTGGTTACAGCCGCTGGTCTGATGGTTACAGCTGCTGGTCTGATGGTTACAGCTGCTGGTCTGATGGTTACAGCTGCTGGTCTGATGGTTACAGCTGCTGGTCTGATGGTTACAGCTGCTGGTCTGATGGATACAGTCGCTGGTCTGATGGTTACAGCTGCTGGTCTGATGGATACAGCCACTGGTCTGGTGGTTACAGCCGCTGGTCTGATGGATACAGTCGCTGGTCTGGTGGTTACAGCCACTGGCCTCGCAGTTACAGCCACTGGCCTCGCAGTTACAGCCACTGGCCTCGTAGTTACAGCCACTGGCCTCGTAGTTACAGCCACTGGCCTCGTGTTACAGCCACTGGCCTCGTAGTTACAGCCACTGGCCTCGTAGTTACAGCCACTGGCCTCGTAGTTACAGCCACTGGCCTCGTAGTTACAGCCACTGGCCTCGCAGTTACAGCCACTGGCCTCGTAGTTACAGCCACTGGCTCGTAGTTACAGCCACTGGCCTCGTAGTTACAGCCACTGGCCTCGTAGTTACAGCCACTGGCCTCGCAGTTACAGCCACTGGCCTCGTAGTTACAGCCACTGGCCTCGTAGTTACAGCCACTGGCCTCGCAGTTACAGCCACTGGCCTCGTAGTTACAGCCACTGGCCTCGTAGTTACAGCCACTGGCCTCGTAGTTACAGCCACTGGCCTCGTAGTTACAGCCACTGGCCTCGTAGTTACAGCCACTGGCCTCGTAGTTACAGCCACTGGCCTCGCAGTTACAGCCACTGGCCTCGTAGTTACAGCCACTGGCCTCGCAGTTACAGCCACTGGCCTCGTAGTTACAGCCACTGGTCTCGTGTACCATGAACCACTGGTCCCCACAAGGCTGTGGTCTCATGATTGAGTGGTTTCATCTCGTCACTTGAAAACCCAAAGGGTACTTAAGGTTCCCGAAGAAGCCCTTAAGGAGATCATCTTGATCATGACTGTGTTAGATATATGATTCTTGGAGAACGTAAACTTTAGCTCCTGGGCCCCAGGTTATCACGATGATAACCGCTTCCTGAGTGCCACCAGCCCAGTGCCACCAGCCCAGTGCCACCAGTATTATAGAAAATGATGCTGTGATGAGATTATTTAGATTATTCTTCCCATTTTTCTAAAATAAATTAAAATGGGATGTATTAGTAACAATTAAAGCATCATAATATTCACGTTTTCTATGCATCGGTCTCATATACGTTAGGTGGGTTCACATGGGTTCGTACCTTGTTACATGTGACTTCGTTACATAGGCGAAACCGTTGCATTTATTACGGAGTGGCAAAATCGAGAGAACGGGCTGGGATATAACATAATAGAATGGGATACATTTTTAATTCAGTACATTTTCTAAAAAAAAAAATGGTAGGGGGGGGGGCTTGAGAACACTACAATTGTTGTTGGTGTCAAAATGATCATAATTATTGCTGTTGATCGTCATTACGATCAATCATAATTACCTCATTAATCATAGGATTAATAAGCACAACTTTCATATGACTTATAGTTCATCTTCATAGAATTGATAATCCTGTTCATAAAACTAACCATCACCTTCACAGGATTAACGGTCACCTTCACAGGATTAATGGTCACCTTCACAGGATTAATGGTCACTTTCACAGGACTAATGATCACCTTCACAGGACTAATCATCACCTTCACGGGACTAAACACCACTATTAGCGTTAACTCACTCTAACACTATAATCTCATCTATGACACATTACTCCTAAATCTCCAAGTCACATATTCACTAACATTTATAATTCTCAGTTAATATTTTTGGGAATTACGTTTATGTTATTACGAGAGAGAGAGAGAGAGAGAGAGAGAGAGAGAGAGAGAGAGAGAGAGAGAGAGAGAGAGAGAGAGAGAGAGAGAGAGAGAGAGAGAGAGAGAGAGAGAGAGAGAGAGAGAGAGAGAGAGAGAGAGAGAGAGAGAGAGAGAGAGAGAGAGAGAGAGAGAGAGAGAGAGAGAGAGAGAGAGAGAGAGAGAGAGAGACAGACAGAGAACACCCACATACCTTCTTCCACTGCACATAGGGCATAGGTGAGCCCACCGCTACACAAGATATACTCAGCGAGGCTCCGGGCATTACTTCGTAGACAGGGTCCGGTGCCTTGCTGAACCTTGGTGGCACTCGACGTACTGTAAGAGGGGGAAGCAGACATAGAAAATGGCACCCGGCACTGTAAAGGGGGGGGGGAGACATAGAAAATGGCACCCGGCACTGTAAAGGGGGGGGCAGACATAGAAAATGGCACCCGGCACTGTAAAGGGGGGAAGGAGACATAGAAAATGGCCCCCGGCACTGTAAAGGGGGGAATGAGACATAGAAAATGGCACCCGGCACTGTAAAGGGGGGAAGGAGACATAGAAAATGACACCCGGCACTGTAAAGGGGGGAAGGAGACATAGAAAATGACACCCGGCACTGTAAAGGGGGAAAGAGACATGGAAAATGGCACCCGGCACTGCAAAGGGGTGGGGGCAGACATAGAAAATGGCACCCGGCACTGTAAAGGGGGGAAGGAGACATAGAAAATGGCACCCGGCACTGTAAAGGGGAAAAGAGACATGGAAAATGGCACCCGGCACTGTAAAGGGGGGGAGGAGACATAGAAAATGGCACCCGGCACTGTAAAGGGGGGGGCATAGAAAATGGCACCCGGCACTGTAAAGGGGGGGCATAGAAAATGGTACCAGGCACTGTAAAGGGGGGAGGAGATATAGAAAATGGTACCCGGCACTGTAAAGGGGGGGAGGAGATATAGAAAATGACACCCGGCACTGTAAGGGGGGGGCAGACATAGAAAATGACACCCGGCACTGTAAAGGGGGGAAGGAGACATAGAAAATGGCACCCGGCACTGTAAAGGGGGGGGGGCATAGAAAATGGCACCCGGCACTGTAAAGGGGGGGCATAGAAAATGGTACCAGGCACTGTAAAAGGGGGATAGAGATATGAAAATGGTACCCGGCACTGTAAAGGGGGGAGGAGATATAGAAAATGACACCCGGCACTGTAAAGGGGGGGGCAGACATAGAAAATGACACCCGGCACTGTAAAGGGGGGAAGGAGACAGAAAATGGCACCCGGCACTGTAAAGGGGGGGGGGAGACAGAAAATGGCACCCGGCACTGTAAAGGGGGGAGGGGAGACATAGAAAATGGCACCCGGCATTGTAAAGGGGGGGAGACAGGGCAGCACATAGGGGGGAAGGAACAGAAAACCCGGCACTGTAAAGGGGGGGGCAGACATAGAAAATGGCACCCGGCACTGTAAAGAGGGGGGGGGGGGAAGACATAGAAAATGGTACCCGGTTAGTCTCCAGCAACACACACCCACATTCTATTCAATAGAGAAATAGTCAAACATAAGGTTACTGAAAACAGCTAATGGTTGGAATAACATAAGGAGGTTAAGCTTCGCCAATATAGTTAATGGAATGATCCGTCTATTAGCGCGCTTACTAGTAAGCTTAATGGTAACCTACATGACTATATGACCATTATAGTGAGTGGAAGCTGATCAACTCAAAAGACACTCAAAGATACCCATTACAGAAACTATAAGAAACAAAAAAACAAAAGAAAAGCTGAAATTATAAACGAAAAATATTGATAAACCTAAGATACAACCAGATGTTGTGATCACAGCCGATCAATAGTTATATTGATCAATAGTTATATTGATCGGTTATATTTCTTATACACAACCCTACTTAGCTCATACTGCTTTTAATACAAACTAAGCCACCATGACTGTTCAAAGATGTACAGGTTTCGTAAGACGATGTATAAATACATGAAGAATCTTAAAGTTTTTAAGCCATAGCCCACAGAAGCCACATCTTTTAGATATACCTAACAAGTGCACGCTCGAATGAGCTTGTTTGCATATTTGTGATTGAGGAATTGACCTTATTTCGTGTTGTTGATACGTGCTGGTCTCCTTTCTCCCACTCCTAGCTTCATTACTTTACAATTGCTGGGTTTGAATTCTAGTAACCATTTGTTTGCCCACTCCGGGAGTTTGTCAAAGCTCTGCCTGGAGCTTCCTGCAGTCTTCCTCTGTTTTTATATTCCTCATTAGCTTATCATTGTCGTCTGAAAACATGGGTGTGTATAAGCTCACTCAATGGGTTAAGTCATTCACATAAATTAGGAATAACATTAACGGTGTGTGTGTGTGTGTGTGTGTGTGTGTGTGTGTGTGTGTGTGTGTGTGTGTGTGTGTGTGTGTGTGTGTGTGTGTGTGTGCAATACCCACTAATACAACCCCATCCCCACAACCCACTTCCATTGCCCTCCCACAACACCCCCCCTCCACTCACATCTCCCACCACACCCCACAACCCACCACCACAACCCACCACGCCCTTGCATTTCATTGTCACTAACTTTCTCGTTCTCAGACAATTATACGGCGCGTTGAGACCTCTCTCACCCAAGCCACGACGCCTCGCCTCTTTCTTCTGCTTCTAATAAGTATTTCTCCTACTACTACTACTACTACTACTACTGCTGCAACTAAAAATGCTCCCAATGCAGTTACCATTGATAATACTTACAACGCTACTATCAATGCTACTCTAACTACCACTAATGCTACAAAAATGCTACAACCAATGCTTCTACTACTCCAACTCACGCATACCACAGCATCTAATATTTAAAGAATTCACAGCAATTAGAGACACACAAAATATAAATTTATTGATACACAAAAACACGAATTATTAAGGCATTCAACGAGATAGTGAAACGCGGCACGCAGCTCCCGTAGACTTTATCGGACAATTTCAATATATTTTGCAATTACTTTATTCACTCTCGTATTCTTGAAGATATCCTCACAGTATACCCAAAATTTGCCAGTGCAGGCTATTAAACACATGGCTCTGTATGACTAACCATCCTGCGAGATGGGGACTTGTATTACCACTGCTACCTTATTCAATCTTGTGTTGTTGATATCCTCAAAATGCATCCGGAGTCTGCCAGTGCAGACCGCTTATCACATGCCTCTGTATGACTAACCATCCTGTGTGATGGGGATTTTTTAGCATCACCTAGTTAGCTTTTTTGACACACTGTACTCCACTTCATATAGTCTAGGGTAGCTGCACTAATGCAGATGTACCTCATATGTTAATAAAAAAAAAAAAAAATTTGCTTACGGCAAATTGAGTTAATTGCATTGCATATAACTTATATTGCATTGAGTTTCTTATCAGTGCTTCAAGTATCTCCCCCGTAGGGTGAACATTGAACAGGAGGTAACATGAGGGGTGAACGCCTTACCGAACACCACTGTTCAAAATCTCGAGTGAACGGACCGGAGAGTTCAGTTCACACGGAAGATGTTCCTTGGAGTTTTAATTAACATCCTAATTATCATCATTATTGTTATTACTATTTTATTTTTTTTGAACGGCAGTGAAAGTAGAGTGAAGAAGGTGTAGGAAAGTGGGTATTGATGTAAAGGGGGGAAGAGTGGGGGTAGTGATAAGCAGAAAATAGGGGTGAGACATAGGGGGGAAGAGTGGGGGGTAGTGATAAGCAGAAAATAGGGGTGAGACATAGGGGGAAGAGTGGGGGTAGTGATAAGCAGAAAATAGGGGTGAGACATAGGGGGAAGAGTGGGGGGTAGTGATAAGCAGAAAATAGGGGTGAGACATAGGGGGGAAGAGTGGGGGTAGTGATAAGCAGAGGTGAAACATAGGGGGGAAGAGTGGGGGAGTGACAGAAAATAGGGGTGAGACCATAGGGGGGAAGAGTGGGGGGTATTGATAAGCAGAAAATAGGGGGTGAGACATAGGGGGGAAGAGTGGGGGGTAGTGATAAGCAGAAAATAAGGGTGAGACATAGGGGGGAAGAGAGAGGAAATGGTGGGGAATTGTAATTTGAGGGATGGGAGTGAAGGGGAATGGGAAGGGGGGGGATGGGGAAGGGGGATAGGAAATGGGAAGGTGGGGGGATGGGAAATGGGAGGGGGGGGGGATGGAGCAAGGTGTTACGTACTATCCCGCTTGGAAAAATGTAGTTTTTTCTCTCTCTTTTTCCCAAACTGCCTCAATTTAACAAAGTTTAAGGCTTCAAAAAACGCCGCCAGTAAGTACGGGGGAAGATGTCCCCGAGGAGGTAGAAGACGACTACGTATTCAGGAACACTGAAGACAAGATAACGACTCACAGACACACTTGAGGCGGGACCAAAGAGCCATAGCTCAACCCCCGCAAGCACAACTAGGTGAATACACAGCATTTCGAATCTCCCCCATTGGCCGAAGGTAAGGTTAAGTAATTATCAGGAGAAAGCACCAAGCCATTTCGACTATATAGCACTGGGAAGAGGTCTGGATACGATGGGATGGGACGCGGGGAAAGGAATGGTGCCCAACCACTTATGGACGGTCGGGGATTGAACGCCGACCTGCATGAAGCGAGACCGTCGCTCTACCGTCCAGCCCAAGTAATTGGCGATGAAGACACAAACTGTATTGGAAACATTTGAATTGTTTAAGATAATAATAATTCAAAAACTATGTCAATACAATATAGAATCACAGCATTACTGCAGATAACTAAAGAAAAATGCACTTCTAGCTTGCAGACTTGAAACCAAATAATGACGTGAAAAAAAAAATCACTTTTTTTGTAAGTCAAGCTTTTGCGTCATAATTTCAGCCTGAATACATGTGCTTTGGTTCTCACTATCATCCAGTATTCCAGCAAATCCAATTCATTTTCCAGCATTAAAGCACTCACTCCAGCGTGTCGGCTCATACTAAACTCTTTCACATTACACACTCAACTCAGTCATTCCAGTTGATATTTAAGTCATACCATCTTTTACCCTGATTTTTCTTTCAATAATGTGATTTGGCTGCATTTAATATAAGGTTTCCGTTTTTAGAATCCCGTTCTTTCCATAGCGCAAGAGCCGGGACTTATCCTCATTAAACATCGTGATATTTTTCTGTGGCCCATTGAAGGACTCGATTTACATCAGATTGATGGTTTGCTGCGTCCTCTATATTGTTTACTCCCATGAATATCCTAGTTAGGATATCAGGATATCCTGCATCTGTTAGGGATAGGATGATAAAGTACTATAGCTTGTGTCCTGTGTCTGATA